TTGTATTTTAATAGATTTTTGGGTGGCTAAATGTTTAAAAATATAAAGGGCATATATACCCCAATAGACACATATGTATGTTTGCACACTGAAAAACAAACAAATGAAAACCACAGTGCGGTCCTTAGGCAAAGGTGGGCTAAACTCAGGCACTGGTTTATGAATAGCTTTTCAAGCAGCAAATGGCAAGAAGCTCACCCAGTCCCGCTTCCTCATCACCAGATACTTCCTGGTCTGCAAAGGGCCCGTTTGACTGTGTCATGGTTATACCTCCAGGCTTGTGGTGGGAGCTCCCCTGGAGCCTGTGGCAGTCAACCAAATGGGACAGCTGTATGACTGCGTGTCTGCAGCTGGCACGTGCCGGCCCATCTCCTTGCACAGTGAGTGCCTTGACCCCAGTATCGGGACCCTCAACTCTGCTCATCCCAAGTGTGCCCCCCTCAAAGGCTTCCAGCCTCGAGGGTGTGTTGTTGAGTGTGACCCGATGTGTCTGCCATCTCAGTCCCCCCAGAAGCTGTGAACGTGTCCCTGGGCCTGTCCCTGGTGGCCTCCACTAACCATTCCTGGCTGTTGGTGAGTTGCTTGGGACCCAGGAGGGGCTGGAGGAGGCTGCAGCAGGGAGGAGAGGGTGAGCAGGGGCTCTGGGGCCCCATTGCTCACAGATCTCTACCCCTAGGCCTGTGGCCCAACTGTGCACAGAGCTTGTGGGGAGAACATGTATGCAAAAGGCTCCTGCCTCCTGTTGGGCTCCCACCTACAGATCATTCGGACAGTCCCAGTGACCCTGCCAGGTAGGTCCCTTGGAGACAGAGACAGAGCTTCTCTGGGGACCACAGGGTGGCATGGAAGAATGGGCAGGGTGAGGCCTCCTCAGCCCTTGTGTCCATGTCCCTCTCCCGGAGGTCTGAGTGTGCCTGAGTAGAGCTGGGCAAGCCTGACAAGGGAATTGGAGGGCGCTTTGGCCTGGCTGGAGAGGAAGAGCCCTCAGCGGTGAGGGGAAAAGTTGCCATGGGAACAGAGGGGAGCCCTGTGCAAGCCACAGAGGGTGTAAGGGTCTTACAGTCACCAGCAGGTCCATAGACACTCCCTGAGTTTCTGAAGATCTGAGATGGGAAACGTTCCGTAAGGACCATAGATCCACAAGGGAGGCAGTTCTGAACGAGGCAGTTCTCACTGCTGGCTGCTAGGATTTCTAGACGAACTCTTCCCCTTCAAAGGGGAAAGAGTAAATGATAGATCTGTGGAAGGTGTGATGCACAGTTTTGTCAGGGTCAATGTCTTCCAGAAAGAGTGCATAGATTCCTAATCGCACATGACTTGCGACAGCTTTTCTGACTATCCTTCCGGCAGTGCGTTTGGACCAACAGAAAGTGCAGATAAGCTGGCAATAAAGAGCACACCTGGGGCCACTGGGATACAGCCGAGAACAATGCTTTAGTCCACAGGGGCCATGAAGCCAGGTGCGGCAACTTTTAGCCAAATTTGGAGCAGCAACAGAAACATTCTCAGACCAAAGTGTGCTGGGAGAATCCATACGAGGAACAGAGAGAACGGATGAGGGGGGGTCGAGGCTCTTGGGAGGGGCCGTGGTCCTGTCCGAGACCTGAGAAGCCAGGCAAGGTGATGTGGCACTTTGAACGCGAGGAGGTAATGGCTGCTCATAGACATCTCCCTACTCAGGAGGCCCGATGAAAGTGAACACAGGGGCATAAACCTGGGGCAGGCGAGGCAGCTGTGGATAGAGGTGGGAAGGGCTGGGGTCCACTGAGCACCACCCGAGTGCCAGGCAGTGCTGCGTTGCCTGGTGGCCATCACCTGCCAGCATCCACACAAGACCCCCCGATGGTGGGCGGGATCGTGTCCGCATGTGAGATGACAAAGCCACGATTCGGAGTGACAAGTTCCCACTGACGGGGGCACATCCGGGAACTCGAGGCAGCCTCTCCCATGGCCTTAGTCCTTCTTTTAGAAAGGTGCTCAGATCCATCCAGGCGCCTCTGC